CAAAATTCCTGTCACATTATTCATTTACATCTTGCCTGAAGTTGGCTTTGGTAAAACTCAGTCATATTACTGAATCACTGGAATTCTTTGGAGCTGTAAAAGCTTAACATAATCTTTGCCACTCTCTATACATCAAGTGACTCAAGGTCACTTTGACACTTATCATTCATAATAATATATGTCATTGATGGAGACCTGGATTTCCCTGCTCCTTATTTTCCTCAGCACCCTCCTCTTATTCTCACGCACTAAGATCTACAGGGCACAGAACAGAAACTAAGAGAGAGGGCTGCTCAATATTTACACCTTTGTGGAGCTCTAGATGTGGAAGCTGCCATGGAAGCCTGACAAGATACTACAGTACTTGTGGGTGAGGGAATCTCATCAAATAATCCCGAGAGCTTCCACTGCTATGTACATGTTAATACTGAACAGCAGACTGGCCATCATTTTTATAATTAATACTAATTAGGAATGAAAGCAGAACTGGCAAACATTGGCTTGGGGGTGCACTAGAACTCCCACAGTCTTCCGACTAGCACAGCCACTTGAGAAAGTAACAGTCCTTGAATGTAACCCAGATGGGGTAAAAAGAGCATCTGCTCTGGATATGAACTAAACAGGAGTAGGCAAAGTGTAGAGCTGGGCCTCCCAAAGTCCTTCCCAAAGCTCCTTCCTATGCCCACCACCCACTCCGGCCACTAACACTCTTATCCAACTTTGAGAAAATTACTCCCCTAGCAAAATAAAGATGAATCACCACTCCTGGAAGCTTTCAGAAGCAGTGATTAACCAGCTAAAGCGATCAGAACCCCTCTCCTTTGGAGAGTTTTAATACCAAATACTCATTTTTCAAAACTAGAAGTAGACTTTCAGATGTTTCTCGTTTAGATGATGATGATGATAGTAGTGGCTGTTACTTTTATTGTTGCACACCTCTAGCCAAAACAAGCAGCAAAGGTCATCTAACAGTATGGATCCTAAGATGAGTGGATGTAAGAAATTTAATAGATCTTTCTTAATGTGCTTCCAAAATCCTGGATGGAGAATCAGGTAGCTTTTCCTGAACAGTATGACAGGAATGTGAGGAGAGAGGGCAGGTGCTAAGGAAGAGGAAAATATTCTACGGTGTTCCTTTAGTAGAACTATTTTGGTACAGAAGTTTGATTTTTGAGAAATTCCCACCCACCCCGCCACCAGTGAGACCCAGCCCACGTTGTAACTCACACTGTTCACGAGAATGCCTTACTGTCTAGAAAAGACTGGTGGGGACAACCGGTGGCTGCAGTGAGAACAGGGCATTTCCCTTCCATGAACTAAATGAATTCATTTTAAAGTCCAAGTCATCGTTCTTTGAACATTTTGACTGTAGACCCTTTTCAGGGCCAATACTTGGGAATGTGGCAGAACAAGCTGAACACAGATTTAAAAGGTGGGCGTCTGAGTAGTCCAAAAATTATGTTAAACACTGTTTAATATAGACAGAAAATTAAATGTTAAATTCTAGTCATGTCTATTTTTCAGTACTGAATAATTTATTCTCTTTGACAGAAACTGGCATCGTTAGAAGCCTGCTGAGGGCATATTTTCATTCTTGCCAATTTACACCAGGCTTGTACAAACAGTTTAACACTGCAGAGCACATTCAGTTCACCCAGTACTGCTGGATGGAAAGGAGAAGATCAGTCAGCAAGGTGTTTTGTGTAGGTGTGTTTGTGTGTAGAACTTTCTGGGTAGGAACAGTATATCTGAACAATCAGACTGAATCTTATTTGGACTACAACTCCCATCAGCACCAGCCACCATACCCAAAAACCAGGGATGGTGCCAGTCTTGAAACTGTTTTAAATATCTCTTTAAAATCCTTAGATCGGTCTTCTCCAATGTGACAATCTTCGGTTGCTTTGAACTACAACTCACGGATTCTCTAGCAAGTGGTCATATTGGCTGGAGTGATAGGAGTTGTAGTCAAGAGCCACACTGGGGAAGAGTGATCTAATGGTCTTTAAGAGAAAAATTTAAAAGCTAGAACAATTTGTTGCAGAGAGGAGAGTTGCCACTGAGTCCCTGATGGGACAAGAGTTCTGCCCCAGTTGATTGTGGCTCCTCTTGAGTGAGAGCAAGCTTCCTGGGTTCAAGTCTGTACTTAAATTTTAAAACCCCTGTTTACATGCTTCTCTTCAAGGCATCTTTGGACTTCTTGCTGGAAGCCCACACCACTACTGTCGTTTGTTTTCTGCAACAATTGCGTTCATATTAGTTCATGGCGTTTTTTGGAGCCTTCGGATTGGGAGCCTTTAATACAGGAAAACTACAGAGAGTGGGACAAAAGACCATCTGGAGTGTTGATTACACTGATTTCTGAGCTCAGCCAGGGGCTTTCTGCTTTGCCAATCACCAGCATGGGAGTGTGGGTATGTTGTCCAGCTGTGAATGTGCATGTTTGCTGTGTTTACTGTCAGCCATTTAAGCTGATTTTCATAAATTCTGAGTGTGAAAGAGAACACTGAACGAAACCAAAAGACTACACACACAAAATGTAACAAAGGCTGCACACCAGTTTAAAAATAACTATTTGAAGCATTTAATATATCTCTTGATCCAACAGCATGAAAGGCATACATATTTTTTTTTAAAAAAGAAGCTACAGTTTGTCTCCATTTTGTCAATGTGCCAATATTAATTACTGCAGAACTTAAAATATATATTGTGATAATAAGCAGAACATACAGAGATTGTTCAGATCATGGTACAATGTATATAGATCATGGCAGGAGTTAATTATCAATGCTTATTTGCAACAAGTAGAATTGGGTAAAAATGTATCTAAAATAAAAACAAAATTCTAGGTAAATATATGTCACACACACTTGCCTATGGATATGGACTGTGGGGCCACTTTGCATACCATACCAGTCATGTAGAGCAACTTCCTGATGGCTTCCTCTCCTGATGGGCTATATTCACTTCAGAGCCATAGGAATTGAAGAAATTATTTGGTTCTTTTCAGTTCAGTTTCTGGAAGTAACCGGACTATTTGCCCTTTGTTTCTGTGGTACTGGAACACAGATATTCACAACACCATATGGGAAGAAACACAGGGCACTGCTGCCTATCAGTTATGTCTTCAGGTTGAAACTAGACCGCTTTTTTTTTGTAGCTATGCTCCCTCCCCAGAGTGGTAAAGACATCTATTTGTCATAGCCTGTGATTTTCAACACCTATGGATCTCACATTTAGTGTGCTTTGTTTTGTGATTGATCTTTGGAGAATAATAAGAACAGGTTTCATGAGACTTTCCTGTTTTGTTTTGTTTTTTGTTTTTTTTGTTTTTTGGTCTACAGCACCCAAAGATTGGATGGAATTGTCCCAGCCAGAATTCTGGAGGCTTTAAGCTCACCCCAAAAGCCATCTCAGGTGCCTGACATAACTTAGGGCTGCTGCATAAATGATAAGAGATCCATCCATATCTGAGTTCCAAGGCTCTCTGATGTAGGAGGGGCTGGTTGGACAGAGCTAAGTTCTGTGGCACTGTAAAGCATTGGGGTATTTTAGTTTCCCAAGAAGCATCCTGTATGGAGCATTCAAGACTACAATACCCAATGGTCTGCAGTGCCCCAAATTTGGGCCCTCCCAGCTAGTTCTTCCTTCATTGGAGAGCCTCAGAATTCAGAAATAGGGGGATCTTTCATCTTTCATGGAGCAACTTTAAGTTGTATTAAATTACATAATAGGGGTTATTTTAGGGCTAAAGTCCCCAGAATTCTGGCTGAGGCAATTCCAGTAGACATTTGGAACTGCCTGAAAATTATGGAAATTCCATCCCTATTTGCAAGTTGGATTGCAGAGGTGTGCATCTCTGAGGACATTCCACTGTGCAAGGAAAGCAAGTTGATCCCACTGGGGAAGGGAAATTAAAATAATATATGGGAATATACAGTCTACTTTGACCCTGTTCATTGATTATCACAAATAGTGCTAGAGCTGCATAGGAGAATTCCATGCCCATCATTCAAGCTTTTGATATTAAACTGGAAATGCAAGGATGGATACCTAGAAAAAGGAATCTATCACGTTGCACACATGTTTGAGCCACGTGTGGACTGTGCCACCGACAATGACTCCATGTTGTCTATCTTTTTCCTTGGGCCCAGCTTGCTGAATGTACAGCTACCAGCAAGACTGCAGGAAGCACTTCACTGACTTCCATTGCAGTGGCTACTTTTTGGAAGGAAGAGAGAATTTCCATTCTAGGGGACCAATGCAGGGAGGCTGTATCTTTGGGCAAAAGGACAAAGATCATAATCTGCCTATCAAAGTTCCTAAATTCAATTCCTGGCATTTCTATTTCACACATTTTTTTCTACTAGAGAAGCTTGGAAAGGCTCAGCCTAGAGAGATGCAACCAGGCAAACTAGATGGTCAAATGGTTTGACACAGTATGGTGCCAGCATTTCCTTTCTATCATAAATAAATTCAATATAATGGCCACCTGGACTGCATGGATTGTGTCTAGAGAAGTACACATGAATTCCAACTGAAGCTCAGTGGCTGGAAAATACAAGAAAGACCTGTAGCCAGAGAACTGAAGATCACTGCAGGACAGATTATTCCTGGCTGTTTACACTGCAGAAAATGAACATAATAATATATGAACTTGTGTTATCAAAACCTTGCTGGTTGAAGGACCACTGGTTAATCTATCTCCATTTTCTCTCACTGATCACCAACACCTCCCCAGAGTTCCCAGTGGAGGGAGTGTTTCCCAGTCCTACCTTTCCCGGATCATGCCAGGAACTGAACTACATGGTTGTTCTGGGTTTTTCAGGCTCTTTGGCTGTGTTCTGAAGGTTGTTCTTCCTCACGTTTCGCCAGTCTCTGTGGCCGGCGTCTTCAGAGGACAGCAACCAAAATGATATTTTGTTGTCCTCTGAAGATGCCGGCCACAGAGACTGGCAAAATGCCAGGAAGAACAACCTTCAGAACACGGCTCCTTTCTATCATAAATAAATTCAATATAATGGCCACCTGGACTGCATGGATTGTGTCTAGAGAAGTACACATGAATTCCAACTGAAGCTCAGTGGCTGGAAAATACAAGAAAGACCTGTAGCCAGAGAACTGAAGATCACTGCAGGACAGATTATTCCTGGCTGTTAACACTGCAGAAAATTAACATAAGAATATATGAACTTGTGTTATCAAAACCTTGCTGGTTGAAGGACCACTGGTTAATCTATCTCCATTTTCTCTCACTGATCACCAACACCTCCCCAGAGTTCCCAGTGGAGGGAGTGTTTCCCAGTCCTACCTTTCCCAGATCATACCAGGAACTGAACTACAGATCACTGCCAATCCATGTTTAGCTGCCATTTGATTTGGCAAGGTAAATCGTTAATTCCTGGTGAGATTTTTTCTGACAGGTAGAAACAGATGGTAGGAATGCTCTGCTACCATCATGAGCCTTGTATTAACCTTCTGAGTTGGCCCTGTCTTTTTTTTTCATCCAGTCAGACTGCAATGGAGGAAGGCTGAGAGACAAGCCAATGGCTCAATTAAAAAAGAGAACTTTCTACAAATTGGGACAATGCCATTGTTGCGACATATTTTAAGTCAGTTGAGAGTCGCTACTGTAATATTGTGGTTTGCAAGCTTTTTACTTTGAGGGGAATCCTTTCAGCAACACTTGATCTGCTACAGATCCCCTGCCAATCTCTCATGGGAATGAAGCTCTCTGTGTTCCAAAGTATGCTGGGGCGTGTTTTAGAACAAGACACAACACCCCTCTTAGTATGTCCATGGTATACGAAGAGCCACAAAATTGGGCATGCTGGCACCATTCCTGACTTTTGCGTTTTGAAACTTTCAACTTTTCTAAGACTCTGCAAAGCTCCCCGGAGAGCAATTTTGAAAGACCACAGAGTGCCCTGAAGCAAGGATTTCTAGTGCCACTGCATACACGAACAGTGTCGTCGAAGGCAGGGACAGACATTATACTGTAGCTTTAGCAAATGAAAAAGATATAAACATCCACTTGAGCCCACTGAACTCTCACCAAGTGTGAAGAATATTATGGAGAAAAAGCACTGAGCACAAGCAAACGCCTTCCTTAGGACAGCTGATTGCCTTTATGCTTCAGCAGTTGTTTCTCAGTGAGTCCCTTGCATACCCCCAACCCACACCCTTTGCTAATATTTAAAAGCACATTCCAGACATAAGCATGGAGGCAGGACTGAGAGTGCAAACATTTCAAGGCAGCAGGGTAAAGCTGACAGTCTGACTATTAAATATAGAACAAAAAGCACAGGGGTCGGAACTGTTCTGAGGAAACTGGCAAACATACTGTTAAGAAGTGGCAAGAAAATATCACTATTACAGAGTTTGGCAGAGAACAGTAGGTGCCAGGGCAGGGTGTGTTTGTATATGTATTTGTCTCTGTGTAGGGGGGAAATGTGTTAAGCTTACTATGCATCATTTCCAAAGCTTGTCTGTTGGCCTGCAGTTCAGGCAGATTTCCAAGATAATTCCCACGCAGAGCTGGGCAGTGTTGGCAAGGCGCAGATGGTATTCATGTGAAGGCACAGTCTGGGGAAGCGGGCATCTCTGGCAAGCACTGATATGGTGTGGCCACTGTTTTTGTTACATATTGTGGACCGAGAAGTCTCCTCCAGCACTTCCCCCTTCATCAAACACCACAGTGGATTGTGCAAAACTCTGCACTTTATGGCTTTTATGAGATAGCCACCATCTGGATTGTATGAGATGGTTGTCCTGCTGTCGTTAATACAACAGTGGGTGTTTGCAGGAGATTAGCACCACATGCTCTTTGATCAAGACATGGTTTTCTTCATGCTTCCCATATGTCCTTTAATGTACCTGCTTGAGTACAACTGCGTACAGGCAGTAAAGCACAACATAAGGAAGGTTCCCCTGAAATTCGCAAGGAAGTGGGGTTTTTTTATTATCCCGTGAAACTAAGTGCTGCTGATTCTCATAAGCAGCCTTTGCATGTACCTTAAAATGTGGATCTTAAGATGTGCACCTGTTGAAATAGCCCTTGCATCCCAGCCACAGAAGCTTACGGTGTAGTCTAAGTTAACAACCTGATCCACAATGTTTTTAAGGAAAACTGCTTCTGAAGTGGAAGTTAAGGCAAACAACAATCCTAATTGTTCTTATCTGGCAAGGTAGCTCTTCTTTGAGTGGGTCTGTCCAGGGGAATCATTTACTATCACAACGTAAGTCTCATTCATTTTGTCTTGAAATTAAAGGTGTAATCAGATGGGCATTTCGCATGCAGTTTGGTCCACTTTAGGAATGGGCTGGTCCACTCCTTTTCCTGGTGGCCGCATGCCCTACTGGCAATCACAAACCAACCCGCTACTCACCCTGCAGGTTCAAGCCACTTATCAATAAATTGAAAGTATCTTCCCATTGCCCTCCATAGGGAAAATAGAAGAGGATGGAATGGACTAAATACAGCTGCTTGAGATGCAGTTTGGTTTCCTGCCCCAAAACCACCACAAGGATGTAAGGATCTACTGCACCTCTATGCAGTCTTAAGCAACCCTATTTAGCTGATCCAATCCAATCCAATTTGGCTGTCTAGTCACACGCTAAGTAGACTTACACACATCAGGAGGGGGGTGTCTTTGAATTTCCTGCAGTGTACCCTTTCAGAAACATAATCTCATGCTCCACTCTAGGAGTGATCACTCCGAGTGAGGTAGTGTGAGTCAGCTGTTTGAAGCGAAAGATTTTGAGTCATTAAAGGGCACTGAGTAATTATTCTCTCAGCTAAATTCAAGAGTGGTTTTTAATAACTCTGCCTTGAACTCTGTTCAGTGAAATGGAGCAATCAGAGGTCCCTAAAATTCAGATACAGAAAGAGCAAAGGAGAGAGTGTTCAAACAAGAGAGATGTAATATAGATCATTTGGCCACACTGGCAGTAATATAAAGACTTTGCTTCTGTTGGGGAGGATCAGGTATCCACCAAGAAGCAACAAACGTCTTTTTATTTTTCCAGGGGTCAGATGTTATATTATATGTGGCAGGAAGATGTAAGATAATGTTTGGGGTCTAGATACACCAGTCTCAAAGCTTCTGGTACCTGGATTCCTAAATGCGATCAGACATGATCCAGTCAAAGCAGTATACTGTGGAATTCTGCTGAAGTGCAGAATTAAGAAATAAAGATGAGAAGCTTTCAGTAAATATTTTGCAACAGAAGTATAAGCCAAATTAAATTTATGGTCACATCCTGCAATGTTTAGATTGATTATTTTCTCTCCTATTAGAGAAGATGCTCCTTCCCTAAAGCATAGCAGACAATATGTGACTTAGACACAAAGATGCGGAAAATTACTTTTTTCAGACCACATCTCCCAAAACACCTCAGCCAACATGACCTGTTCCACCTCTGTACTTGGATAGTCCAACACACATAGCCTAGACTAGATTCATAATCCTGAATTCTTTGTTCCAAAGAAAGTTTGGGGAACTGCTGTTGTGTACTTGAGTTCTTTAACAGATAATTCTGAACATGCTCACCAAGCTAATCGTAGTATTACTGGAGTGAAGCCCTGAAGACTAAACTAGTATAAAGGCAATACAGGTTTGTAATATTGTGATGCCTTTATAATGAGGAATAATAATTAAAGCCCGATGTTGGTTCACTGTAAATCGATTAAAAGTCTTCACTACTGTGTTTATATTTTGTTTTCTTTAACCCTGCCATTTTTTCTTCCATCACCATGAATAATCTTATGACATAAAACTAATAAATAGTATGGATTTTAAAAAGCTTTTTGAAACCAACATTTGGAACAAACTGAATGGACAGAAAAAAGAAGATATATAATTTAATCTGGTATAGTTTTGTGACTAATATTTAAATGTCATATTTATCTCTGCCTTAGATGTTATTTTTATGCCATTTATCATCACTGTTTTGGGTATGGGGAGAAGCAGAGAAGAAGGTGCAATCCTGAAACAAATTAAGTGTACTTAAATTCTATGTTTAAACATTCTAAGACTATATTTTTAGCCTAATAGATTTAGTGAGATTAAAGATATAATCCAGAGTCCATGAAGGCAATGCAGTTTTAACACTAACTTCTTTGCGATTAAGATCTATAAACACATTTCTTATTTTTATTTTTTAAACATGAATGGTATCCAGTGGGTAATTTTAAAGATCAGATTTGAATAGTATGATTTGTGTAGCTGACCCATTTACACCATTGCTGTATGAAATTACATCTGAAAAACAAATTGTTCTTCACTAAAGAAGGCCCAAGAAGCTAGTTTGTAGTCCCTTGCTTTTGAAAGGAGGAGGAGCAGGAGGAAGAGACTGGTTTACTCTCTATTTTCAGTAGCATGGCTCATCTTCTGGATGGTAGAGATTTTGTGGGCAGACTGCATGACCATCTACCATTCAGATAAGCATGGCAACATTGGAGGTTACTTTACACTGAGTCAGAACCTTTGTCTACATTGCCCACGACTGTAAAATCTGGCAGTAGACATTCTAGACTTCAGGAAGACTTTTTAAGATTTACCTAGAGATCCTTGGAACTCTCTTGCAATTTCCCATGTTATCAGTAACCAGGTCAGATCCTGCTTAGGATCTGATGAGAATGGGAATTTCAGAGAGGTACAGAGGTAATAGAATGACTATGTCAATGATGGTACATAACATAGGCTGTCCCAACCATCTCAAGAGAAGAGATACATACTATAGAGAGAAACCACAGAAGAAAGGGCAGCCATGCTACAGAAGTTAATATAAACTGGGCCATATTTTATCTTGTTCTGCATGTAAAAGCATGCATACAAAATATTTTAGAAGCAATGGATTAGCATAATCATGGGGTTTACCTTTCTTTGCATTAATCTGCATAGTTGCCCTTGGTCCCCATGTTACATCAGAAGTAGGTGAGACAAACCCTAGAACTATTGCTAAATAGAGAGAAATGTGATGGAGTAAACTGTAATAACCAGAATCCAACTCTAGCTGTGTCCTTAAAAGGTATATTGACCCATGACTATATTCCCAGTGTAGATGGGTATGGGCAGTGAAAATGATGCAATACTGAGGGACGGGTACCCATATTTCAATGTATATTCTCAATGCACATCCAGATAATGTCTGCAGTTCCTGATCCAGCACAAGATACAGGTGTTGAATTCCTTGACCATGTGCTGTCTTTAGGAGAGACAACAGAGAGCCTTGGAATAGTGATCATAAAAATATCACACAGTAGATTCCCTTAATTTATCTGAACCAATATATTCATTAAGCACATGTCCCTTGCCTACACCATCGTTGTAGAAACAGTCTTCCATTTGGTAGTGATATGATGATACTCTATTGCTCTTCCCAAGAGCCCCTCAGACCCTATACTTTCTGTTGCTGAACGCCAGTACTGGTTAATGAGTACAACCTGATGCCTACATAAAAGACCTGGTACCTATCTTTCCACATGACAAAACAAGCTACAAAACCCACAATGGCTGCCAGGAGGTTAAGCACAATTTGGATCAGCAAGTAAAGGCTGAAAGTACCGGTGATGTCTGTACAGTCCAACACATTCTGGAACAAGAAGGTTCTGCTGAGGGGATCGACTGTGTCCAATTTGCACTGGCAAATCTCAGGGATCATTTCACAGGTAAACTGTGTAATCTGGGAATAACGGTAGGCAGCAAAGGCCACTGCCAACACACCTACAATCAGACTCAGAGCACACAGCAGGAAATAGGCCACCTGAAAGGAAAACACAAAAACATTTCTTTTAGCACAAGAAACAACATACAAAATGCTGTGAAGGCTGACATTCCAATATGAATACTGTCAATCCCAGACAACTTTTACGTGTTTCCCAAATAAGATGCCATTTCCCACACTGCTTGGGCAAACACCAGCAACCTGAGCTTTTGGTTGCTGATTTTTATTCCCTCATGTTCCTATAGCCCAACTTTTTTCTTCTCACACAACCACCACAGGATTTTAAAAAGAATAAAGCAACTCCTCAACAGGAAAGGACTGTGTGGGCTTGGCTTCATAGGTGTAAGACTGGATTCCACTAGCTTGCCCTCACCAAACAGACTCTGGTAGAATTAAACAAGAAACAATACTTTATTTAAAAGGCTAGTACACAATACAATAAAAAAGCATATCAATCTGGCTGATTGACAGCCTTCATTTCTTTTGTTTATACTTGTATCTTATTTAACCTTTCCTTGAACTTTGTTGGAACTTTTTATGTGCTTTGAAGTCTGAACTGATTTAAAGTGTCCCTAATGGGGCTTTCAAGGTAAGAGAGATAATTAAGGATTGTTTTTTCCAGTACTGCATCCCACTGAGTTTCCATGCCTGAGCGGGGATTTGAACCCAAGCCTTCCAAGTCCCAGTCTATGATGCAATCCACTACACCGCACTGCGTAACCTTTATGCAGACCCGTCCTTCATATTGCATTATATCACATTCTCTCCAACCATCTCTCTCATTTAAATCTCATCTGACTATTTTGCTATTTTGATTTCATTCCTTGACACCATTCCTTTTTCTAATGTATCCAATTTTTGACTTAAAATGCAATTTGTGTCCCCTTCCAAAATAATATCACCCCATGCAAATTTTTTTACCTCCCTCAACAATTTTTGCATCAATGTTGCTTGCCCTATATTGGGAGCATAAGAACTTAAAATCAGCAATTTATTTTCAAACTTTCCTTTTACTAGAATATATCTTCCCTCAGGATCTCTTAAATGGTCCGTCACTTCAAGTTTTAAATTTTAAATAGGAAAATTACTTTAAAATGCTGGTTTAATAGATGGATGGAGATATTTAAATCCTAAAATGGAAGATTATACATTCTTTCAAAAATATGCCACTTATTCAAGAATAGATCATATTTTTATTTCAGAAAATTTGGTATCCCACAAGAGCCAGAACAGAATTAGAGACACTAGATACAAGTAAGACCCAGGGAACTATGAATTATCTAAAGAGAAATTATTATGAGCATGGGAATAAGAATTCTAAGTTCTTATCATATGCAGTAAAAAAGAAAGCAATAAAGAGGGCAATTCTCTCTGTGAAAACAAAAGAAGAAACAACAGTATCCTCACAACAACATATAGTAACAACATTTATGGAGTATTATAAAAATGTGTATGAGACAGAATTAACACCAAATACAAATATTAAGAAATTTCTAAATACATTACCAGTTAGTCAAATTATAGGAAATCATTATAGGAAAGTTACTGAATTCTCCAGAAACAATAATAGAAATAAAATAATTTATTAAAAAGTATAAAAAGAGTAAATCATCAGGTTGTAATGGGTTTACAGCAGAATTTTATAAAATTTGGGAAAGGCATTTGTTAAAATTGTTTAATTCGATATTGGGGGGTTGAAGAAATACTATATATTTGTTAAAATTGTTTAATTCGATACTGGGAGGTGAAGAAATACTGTACCAAAATCATGGAACAGCTAGGGTAATAACTATATTAAAACCAGAAAAGGACCCAGTATTCCCCTCATCATATAGACCAATGACATTACAAAACCAAGCCAAAAATATTTTTTTCCTCAATACTGGCACAGAGAATTAATAGTTTTGTTACTAAATACATTCAAACAGCTCAATATGGGTTAATGCCAATAATAGTTTTGTTACTAAATACATTCAAACCTCAATATGGGTTAATGCCAAGAAGGCATATGCAGGATGCCATCCGCAGTTCTGAATGTCATAAATATAGCAAATAAAGAAGAACGGAAATTAGCAATACTCTCGTTAGACACGCTTAAGACCTTTGACCATGTAGAATGGCATTATATGTTTGAATTCTTAGAAAAAATGAATATGGGTGAAAATGTATTAATGTCTTTAAAAATCTATATATGGGGGTGGAGGCTAAAGTACTCATTAACAGAATAGAATCAGATAAATTTACTGTATTAGAAGATTGAGACAAGGAGACCCCTTACCTCCAATTATATTTGCAATACCAATAGAACTACTTGCTGCACAAATAAGAAAAAATAAAAATATTAAAGGCTTGGGGTTTAAAAATAGAAAACATAAAAAAACCTTTACACAGATGAAATGCTTCTATTTCTGGAGAACCCAATAAAAACCATAGAATCACTAAAACAAATATTACAAGAACATTGTTATTATATGGGACTAAAAATCAACTATCAAAAATCCAAATTGTTACATATAAATATCTCTATAGCAGAAAAAAAGGACATTAAAAAGAAGTCAAATCTGGACTTAAACTATTCAAGTTTCAAATATTTGGGAATCTGGATAACAAAATGTATAAACCACTGGTTCTTAACCTTGGGTTACTCAGGAGTTTTGGACTGTAACTCCCAGAAGACTTCACCACCAGCTGTGCTGACTGGGGTTTCTGGGAGTTGCAGTTCAAAAGCATCTGAGTAACAAAGGTTAAGAACCACTGGTATAAACCAGTTATTATATAGAAATTACAAAAATTATTCAAACCAGTAAAAGAAAAAATCAGAAGTTGGACTAAACTGAATAACATATTTTTGTTCCATAAGACACACTTCCCGCCCCAAAAAAAGTGGGGGGGGATTCTGTGCGTCTTATGGAGCAAAGCTGGTGATTTTGCCCCCAATGGCCCCGTGGGGAGAGCCTCGCAAGGGTCCGAGTGAGCCTTCCAGGATCCTTGTGACACTCCCCCACACACCAAAAAAAGTGGGGGGGGATTCTGTGCGTCTTATGGAGCAAAGCTGGTGATTTTGCCCCCAATGGCCCCGTGGGGAGAGCCTCGCAAGGGTCCGAGTGAGCCTTCCAGGATCCTTGTGAC